GCAATAAACCTTATTTTGGTTGCTTAACTTGTAAAATAGTATATATGTGATTTATATGCTAACCGAGTCATTATAATAATGACTGTAAGCCATATTGTAGAACAAGTTTTTTCGACATTTTTGGACATGCGCAGATCGATGCGTCGACTAGTTATAAAGTGCCTACTTGGTTCATGCGGTCCATGTTAAAAAAAGGACAAATTAAATCGTACTTAAAAAATTCATAACTTTAAAACTACAACAGCTAAAAATATGATTTTGGTGTTATCATTCTTTAAAAAATTAGCTTTATTCAACTATGCCCTTGGTTTATTTTTACAAAAAGTTTTAATTTTCTAATCAAAGTACCTACAACTGCCTGTATTTAATTAATAAAGAATGCATGTAAGTTTACATGATAATAATAAAAAATATGAAAAGCGTTAAGAAATAATATTCGCACCTGAACTCCACTTTTACCCAGTATGGTTTGTTAGAAATTCAATAAGTTAGCCTAATATAGGTACTCCAACTCAAATTTTTAAATACATCTAACACACACAAAGAGCACATCATTGGAAAGAGCTGGCTTTAAGCTTTCCAATGACACCAAGATGATCTTTGTATCATTTATAGGAAAAAAGTTATGATTTTTTTAGTGATTAATTTTTTCCCACTGTTCGGCTTTGTATTTAATTTTTAAAACTGTGATCGAATTATTGCACTGTTTGTACTATTTTGTTGTATCATTTTGGCTATTAAAGTTAGAGCGCTCAAATTTGGAGGAGACATGAACAATATAATGTTTAACAAAACAAAACACAATAGTTGTGAATTAACTTATTTTGGATAAAGTCAAGTGTCGAAAAATTTAATTTTACAAAAAAATGATATAATTATTAAACCAATAAAGCTATTGCTATAAAATTTTCAAATGAAACAGATAATGTTCATCTAAAAGTAAGGCAAATTTAAAATAAATAAAATTCAGATCAGAAAAATTTATTAGATATTAGAAAAAATATTTCAATAAAAGCAACCACGGCTGAGAAGTTTTTACATTTAAATACATAACTTTTAAAATAATAAAGCTACTGCAATGAAATTTTCAATACAAATAGATGGTCAAAATTTAAATGTAATGGAATATTCAAATATTAAAAAGGTAATTAAAATCATTAAATACAAAATTAAAAAATGTCATGTAAGTTGTCGACATTGATGTACCGGTGCATTTATAAACATTCAGGATATGGTTCGTGGCTCCGGAGCTCTAGCAACTCTTCATCCTCACTAATTGGCACATTAAAAACATCTTCCTCTATTGTCAAAATAAAATTGATTTGTGCCTGAATCTCCCTGAATCTCCTCCAGGTTGACAGTGCATGTCCTTGTTTGGAATCCTATGCCTGTTATTGAAAAAAACAAACAAAAAAGATATTAGGAAGACATAAAAAAATCAATATTTTTAAATAGGTTACACAATGTTCATTAGTTGAGGAAGATTTATATTTATTAATAACATAGGACAAAAGGCTGTCTTAATTTCTTTTCATGTCACCTCACTCTCATCTTTCTATAACTATCTAGTACTGTGTGTATAGTCTATCATTTATGTATTATTGAAGCAAATATATGAACTATATAAGGCCTTAAGTAAAACTACTATTAAACACCGTTATTAAAAGTGAAAATTGAGGTAATCAAACTAGTTTATTATAATACAGCAAATATTTATTAAACTGTTTGAAAAACGTTTTTAATAATAATAATACCACTGTTAACATTAGAGATTAACGTCTTCCGGTAGGTCAAGTGAAAAAAAAATGGCAGCCAACGGCTGTTTTTAACTTTTTGTCACATGTCGACAAGAATTGTAAATTCCTGCTATTATCTATATTGTTTTAAATAAGTGATTCATTTTTAGCAATATATAAGCTATGCATCAAAGTTATTTCCAAGTCCATCAACCATTTAAAAAGATTAAAAAAGCACGGCGAAATCACTTACCCCACTTTCACTTTACAACAGATCATCTCAGCGTAGTCGGATTTCCACTTTATTTATATCCTCGTAACCGTCATGCACCGCGGATTCAAAATAAAATAAGGAGGTTCATCAACGCTAAGTCACGACAACTACCGAAAAGGGTCAGCGCCAGCTGATCACAGCGATAGGCGGCGAATAGCCCGCGTCTTCCTACTTCCCGCGAAGTGAGTATTGGAGTGCCTACCTAATATCAAATTACAATTACAGATAAGACAGTACTGTGGCCAATTTACCGCCAAAAAAAGAAAAGTAAAGCAACTTTGATCTTGATTGATGTCATGTTAATGATTATAGAACTATATTTAAAATAGAATTTAAAAATACCATAAAATTATAAACATAAACTTTACTTACTTTCTTTCAGCTGTACGTCACATTTATCTTCCTGTTTCTTCAGAGCTACATGAAAGTCTTGAAAATATGGTACATGTCTTGATTGATAATAATGGTGACTAAGATGGCAACCAACAGGAAGTATCCGTCATAACCAACCTCACGTGACCAGCCGGGTCAGAATAGCTATTTGCGGCTATTGGTACTGGGTACCTATAGCCACATTGTTTTAAAAAAATCTCCTGGTGTAAGGAGTTCCAGAAACTATATGTCAATACGTCTTAGAATAATTCTGAGAAATGAGTGACGCCGTGTGTGAGACAATAGCCAGAAAACTGAACTGCACAGAAAATCTCGAAGGTAAAGTGCCAACTGCGTAAACTGCTCCTAGAAAGAAAAAGTCCATCGGAAAAAATGGAATGTTAAGTAAATGAATGAAATAGCGAAACGAGGTATGTGGAAGCTTGAAATAAGATAACAGGTCAAAAAACAAGGACGTTTCGGCATAAAGCCTTCCTCAGCCAACAATAGAAATGAAAATATAACAGAAAAGAGCACAGTAGACAACTCAAGCAGTATTCATTCGTGTCTCCGGAAGTGGGAAAACAGGAAGCGAGAGAATATAAATATTGACACTGAAAAATAAAGTCCACAATAATAATGGACCAGAATATCCAGGGATACATCAACACACAGCAATAAGAAAATAGATGAAATATAGGGAAACAGAGAAACATCAGTAGGATATTATTTGATTAATACCATATGGAGATATGGTGCCAAACAGCTGAATAAATTTATTTTCCATTTTAACCCTATCTGGTGTGTTACTGCATGAAATCAGTGCCGTAATGGTTACATCCAAAGCACCTTTATGTTCTTTTTGGTTGAAATGAGAAGAGACCGGGGAAGGTTTACATTGCTCAATATCCCTTAGATGTTCAGTAAACCTATCAGCCAATCTTCTCCCAGTTTCCCCTATGTAACTTGATTGGCATCTACGGCAAACAATCGCATATATTACATTTCTGCTGACACAGGTGAAACCCTCTTTAATGGTAAAAGTACCTTTAGGGAGGCCAATGCTATCAGTTTGGAGTGTAAAGGGACAAGTTCTGCAGCGGCCTCTTAAGCATGGTTTAGTACCAACGTAAGACGGTTCAGATCGAAGGCGACTATGAACCAGAAGATCACCTAGATTTCTGTCCCGTCTAAAGACAATCAGTGGAGGGGATGAGAAAACCCTGTTGGTATCAGGGTCAGCAAGAAGTATGCTACGATTTTTTAGGAATATTTTTTTGGCAGTTAAATTGTGAGGGTGATAGGTTAGTATAAGTTTGGTACGATCTTCATTGTTGTTTGGGCGAGTTTTGAAAGCCTCTTTTCGTGTGATCGTGCTGATGCGATCTAGTGCTGAGACCAGAGTAGTTTAAGGATAGGATCTGGAGCGGAAGAAATCCATCATTTCATCAGCTCTTGCTAGAAATTCCTCATCAATTTGCCAGAGACGCCGTAGTCTAAGAAGTTGTGAGAAAGGTATGGAGTCTTTGCATGATTTGGGGTGTTTAGTATAGGGAGCAAGGTTGAAATGCAATGGATACCAGGGCACGTCAACATCAGTGGTAATGAGATAGCTGACACTCTGGCGAAAACCGGGGCTGCCCAGCCTCAGCCAGAAGTACCAATGACTTTCTTGGGAGTCAAAAACTGGAGGTTGGACAACAACATAGATCCTACCTGCCGGCATTGCAGCCTGGCCCCAGAGACCTTAGAACATCTGTTGACTGAATGCCCCGCACTAGATCTCCCGGGGGAAGCCAGGGCGGTTGGAGGATCCTTTGTGAGGGAAATGTTGTATGGCTCAGCTCAACAGATGGACTTGATAGCCAATTTACTAGCCGGGGTCATAAGAGAGTAATCTCAGACCTTCACCAGAATATGTGCGTTAGTTAGTTAGTAACACAGCCAAAAGGGTTTTCCCGAACCTTGTTTCATTTTCTTCCCAAAAGGTGGGCACTCCAATACAGCTGCGCAGGCAACTTTTTTTTTTCCCCCTGAACTCTTCGTTCCATAAAGTGCAGTTGATTTACTCATTCATGCATTCCGAGTGGCGTTGTCTTACCAACAGCGTAATTACTAAGCGATTTTGTTTTTAGCCATAGGCCTACAATTAATATTGATCTATGCCTACGTTTTCTATTGTTAGCAATATTTTCAATAATGGTTGAAGAATGAATATTATATAATTTAAATATCAGATTTCAACAAAACAAAATTATCCCCCCTCCCACATGGGCTCCCGCAGAAAACTTTCTGGGGGGAAGGGGGGCAAAAAATCGATTAACTTTCCAGGGGGGGGGGCAAATATTTTTTAATAATGTTTTAATTTAGTTTTAATTTATTGTAGCGTATTTGTATGGTGAACGAACGGACAGGACATCAGCTTAGTTACTTTATCTTTATTTTCTCTTTACTTTAATAAATTGTTTGTCTATTTTTGACTAAAAATTTTTTATCCAATCAATCCAGGGGGGGGGGGCAAGTGCCCCCCTTGCCCCTAAGTGCGGGCGCCCATGCCCCCCCAGCAGTTTTTATAAAGAATAATTTTAAAAAAATTCACATTAAATTCACGAAGTGTAAATTAACATAAAAAAGACGTTTATAATTTTAAACTGGTGACTCACACCAGGAATACTTTTAATTAAAAATCAAAATGATGAGGTGCTGTTTTGATTGTTGTAATCAAATTAGTCAAGAGTAGACAAATGCCACCATATTTATTTTAAAATAATTAAGTGTTTAAGTGGTAATTTTTAAATACATTTTGTAGGGTGGAAAAAGTGATGGTGGTATGTGTGTGTGTTGGGTGTGGGGGTAATTTCAATTCTTACCTTTAGAATTTTACTTAGAAAGCAAAGAGCAATTGAGAAATCATGACCACTTTTGTGTATGACATTTATTTAGTATAGACATAAAAAACTTTCTTAGCAGATATCCTTTCAGAGAACAAGTAGATATTGTCAGTGGATATGGGAACAATTCATTGGGGATGACATATAACATAATTTTTTTACAATGAATAAATTACAAATTTAGTTGACAAAAATGTAAAATTTCATTACATATATTCTTAACAAATGTATTAATAAGCCTACTATTATTTTATTTTTGCCTGTTAACTAAATTCACCCAACAGAAGCAGTTGTAAGTAATTCATTGCAAACAATTTTGAAATAAAGTTATTTTTAAAAAATAAAAATGTACAATTTCTTAACTATTTATGTGATAATGACTTTTTTTTTTTTCTACCTTGCTGGTATTGATTTCAATGTACTAATCCCATGTACACAACTTGTAGCAATATTTGTGACAAATTGTTGTTGAACAACTTTTACCAAAGTCATGATTATTTGCATCTTTCAGCATTTTTTTTTAAAGCTCTTCTGCAGTCGACTGAGATTTTATTATCCAGTCAAACATTTTGAGACTTCAGTAAGTTCAAAGTAAAGACTAAAAATCCTTGCATTATTTTACCAAATATTTCTGACTTTAGAACTGTGCTATCAAGGGGGTTGCAAAGTATAAGTAAAATAGGTTTGTAAATGCATAATTCTGAATATCAAATCCATCAGGCAAAAAATTCACCTCGGACTCTTTACAGGAATGTAACCCATGATAAATATTATTATGTTGTATGTACAATAACATATAAATAGGCAGTGGTCAGTTTGTAGTGTACATAATGGCGGGAGACATACATTATTAAAAATAATGAATTAACTGACAAGAAATATTTCATGACATGCATATAAACTTGTTTGGAGTTTCTGGGTTGTGTTACCATCACAGTCTTCAGTGCATCTATTTATTTAATAACTTTTGTCTATTTTAAATCACATATCCCATGTCAGAAACTGGCAGCTTTCAATGTGTTTAATTTTTTTAAATGGTTTTTATTATACATTTGTACCTTTTGGTATCAGATTTTGATAATTTTAAAAATAAATTCTTGTTTAAATATTTTATTTTTGTTGTTCAACTTCCCATTTCCATGAGACTGGTTGTTTTGATGAAAAATTGGAAATCTGGCCAACAGGATATCAGTTATCTGGACTAGTGACCTAGTAATGTAAGATGCCCGACTGGCTTTTCACAAAACCAAACAGGAATCAGATCAAATACAAGAATGTCCCTAAGTCCACCAGACATAACTTTGATGTTAGGATCAAAGATTCAATACAAGATTCATACAAACACTGATTATATTTTTTATTACCGTTCTCATATTTTGTTGATTATCAGTATTTTTTCATGAAATGAACTAAACCTAGTCACAGTTAGTCTGATTTTAATTTCATAAATCCATTATAATTAATTTTTAATGAAAAATAATTAAAACTATTGAATCTTTGAGGGACACCAAAAATAACTTGAATTTTGTTCAAACAGTTAAACTAATTTTATTTTACACTATGATCTGTGTCATTTTAAGAAATCCGAAAATATCTAAATATTTGACACAAAATACATTCAATGTAAAAAACATGAAGAACGATATAATTTTAATAAATATGCATGGTTCAATAAACAAGACATTTGTTGCACATTGTGATCAAACATAACATTACCAAATATATATTAGTACCCAACAAAAAAACAAAAAACAAAAAAAAAAAACAACAGATTTCATGACAAAAATATTAGCTTCAAACTGCAATTGCTTTACATGTTACTTAACAATAACAGAATTAAATAAGATTGGCCTCCTTGGCCATGGAGTAGAAGATAGATTCATGGTTGGCCAGCAAGTTACTTGGAGAATCAAGTTCCTTAACTAGTCCTGCATCAAGGACCATAATCCTGAAATTAGAAAATATTCAAATATTTGTATGTTACTATTGTTACGATATAATATTTAAAAAAAAAGCAAAGCATTGCATTTTAACATGCCAACACATTAAAAAAAAACTCCTCACTATATATATATATATTTATATCATATAATTTTAATATATTATTATTAATATACAATCTGCAGGGAATTACAATGTGGTTCATCCCTGAATAAACTATTAGCTATGATGGAACATTTACAATTAAGATAAAATCTGAACACCAACCTGTCATAATCCATGATAGTGTTGAGTCTATGAGCTATAGTGATGATTGTGCAGTTGTTAAACTCTGTACGGATGGTGTTCTGGATTAGGGTATCCGTCTCCATATCCACAGCAGCGGTGGCCTCATCCAGGATCAGAATTTTAGTTTTCTTTAAGAGGGCTCTGGCCAGGCACACCAGCTGTCTTTGTCCAACACTACACATTTAAATAGATGAACAACTTGAGGCAATGCTATATATAAATTCTTATTCTGGGAGATTTTTGTTGTTGTTGTAATGTGTAATACTTTCAGCATATCTTAATACACCATGGGTCAAAGGTTATGATGGGTCAAAGGTTATGACAATTTGACTGATTGAAGCAACTGACCTGAGGCTCTGTCCCTCTTCTCCAACCTCATAGTCCAGTCCCTCTGGCGTATTCTCCACAAAATCTTTCAGATGGGCACTGGTCAGTGCATCCCAAAGCTGGTTGTCATCATACTCTTCAATGGGGTCCAAGTTCATGCGGAGGCTTCCAAAAAACAGAACTGGATCCTATTCCCAGAAAAAGCCATTTAGTTATTAGTTATCCACTCTATCCTACAAGTCTAATCTATAATAGTAAAAATTAGGCAAATTTTATTATTATTATTATTCAAGTGGTTCTATATAGCGCGGTACCCCAGCCTAGAACTAGGCTCATCGCGCTTCACATAAAATTATCAAAATGAAAAAAAAAAAAAAAGAAACATGACATTAAATAACAGTTACACAAAATTATTCATTTAAAAACACAGTCTTTAGAAATAAATGTTGACATGTTTCATACTAACGATGGTTGTTAACTACAGTTGTCCTAAAAAAAGAAAGTCTCTGAGCGCATGTGATATTATGTAATATTAAATAACAAGGGGTGAGTATCAGAAGGGGAGAAATGGCCCAAAAAATCCCATGCTTATGTGGCTTGGATGCTAAGATGTATTGCCAGCTAAGTAAAGCTACTTCCTCATTTTTGCTCTAAGTAAAGAATATTTCCACTCAATTAAATCTATGGTGTTTGGTAAGTTATTATTTTTAACAATTTAATGATCTAAGATTGAGTTCACACTGACGATATGCTAGCAGTTGATATATTTTTGACATAGGAAATTTCTTGGTATTGGATTGACAGATACCTGTGGTAAAATGGTCAGCCGTGATCTGACATCGTGGAGACCAATATCAGAGATTCTAATACCGTCAACTGTTATACTTCCCTCAGTGGCCTCAATCAGGCGGAACAGGGCCAAGGCCAGGGATGATTTACCTGCCCCTGTTCTACCCACGATACCAATCTGCGTGGACAAGAATATAAAAAATGCCAATCTAAACAGTTAAGAAAAAAAAATGCATTTAAATAAAAAAATATTGTATAAGCTTGCTAATTTGTAATTCTGCCATCTCCATTCATAAATTTAACCTTCTAAAGAATAAATGGCATTTTAAAAAGTAAATGTTTTCGTGATAAACTTATTTAACACCAGTATTTTAACAGTAAAATCTTAAAATATTCTATGAACTTTATTATCACAAGTTACTAGGTTTAAAGAGCTATTGAGCATTGTCTCTAATGCTGAATTTTACCATTTAAATCATGTTAAGCCACTGACCAAATCAAATATCTTGTAATGAGGTAAGAGCATCAGGTTCCTTTACCTTTTCTCCAGCCTGGAACTCACAGGTAATGCCTTTAAGAACTAGGTCAAGTCCCGGCCGATATCGGGTCTGGTAGTTTGAGAACTTAACTTTCCCATCTATCGGCCAGCCTGGGATGGGTCGACGGCGTGGCACCACCCAGTCGGCCTAGAAATGTTAATAAATTATTGAATCTGATAACTCTGCACCTTTCTCTCAGCTTGTTAAATGCTTAAACAGGAGCTACTGACATAAGAGTGATCATTTAAATAGATTTTAAATAATATTTCACAGTAAATAATTACAGTTTATGTCTATATGGCAAGTTTATTAGTAATATCCAATAAAACAGCTAAAGTAAATTTAATTGCATGAATTATAAACATTATTGATTACAAAAAAATAAAAACACCAACATCTGAATTTCAAGTGATTAGAAACACAATGTCGTTAAATCTTTAAACACGACTAGTTTTTATCTTACTATAAATCATATTTCTATAAATAGAACCGATCTAACCTCCGACTCCAGCTCAGAGTACTCCTTCAACCTCTCCACTGACACAATATTGGTCTCCAGGTCACTCATTTGTCGGACCATCCACACAAGGTTGCTGGACACCTGGTTCAATTCACAAAGGAATCATATCAAACAAAGCCACATGTAGGACACTATCAGGTGATGGGAAGCCACCATAACATTATAGTGAACGAAAACATTTTAGCTCTCTGCAGTCTTGACGCTTTTTTCAATTTTGTTAAAAATCTTAAGGTGATTTTTAAAAATAATTAATTAACTCATCTGAAAGAGCTCTGATCTGATCAGTTATTTTATTAACTTGTTCATCTTTGACTCAGCTATCATTATATATTTTTTAAAAATTTTATTTTCTTAGTTATAAAAAAATTAAAATATTATTTGAGAATTGTTTTTTTTTCCTTTTATGCAAAATTTTGACAAAATTTTCACACAATATGAAGGAAAAAAAAATCCTTGTGATAAAAGATTTAAAATTTATTTAAATAAAATATTTCATCATCTAACACAATTCATAGTCAAAGATGACAAACATTCTATGAAAAATAAAAGAGTTGTCAATATTTTAGCAAAAGCTATATTTTGTCTTTTTTTTCTAAAAAATGCACTAAATTTTTTTTTAAATTAAAATTATGTTTTGTTTGTAATATATTAAAAAAAATGGGCATCATAACTTATTTATTTGTACATTAAATATATGTCTTGATAATTCTTGAGTTAAAGATAACTGGGTAAAATTTGATGATTATATAAATAACTCAAAACAAGAGTCAATGTTTTTTTAAAAAAAATGTTAACATACTGGTGTTTTCTGAGGTTAAAGTTAATAAAAATTAAAATGATTCAGCACGATACTGCTAATTTTGATATTAATGCCCAATACGATTCATTCCTCACTAATCTGATCTATCTTTTCCCATGTTCCGGTATTTTTTTATATCTTTGATAAAATCCTCATATAACACAGGCCGATAAACTACAGTATTCCTTAATTATATTTATGGATACTGAACAAATATTATTTCTTTAAACAGTGTGCATTTTTATTATAATAATTATAATTGATAAATAAGAGCTTGTCCTGGACTTTGTTTCAACATAGGTAACATTTTTCACCACAGAACATTCCCTCAATAAAGAACCTGTGAAATAAAAATATGATTGAGTCATAAATAAAATTAACACTAATGGCATCAGTAATGGTAAGCTATCAGTAAGGGAAAAAATACCATTAATCCTAGCCCAAATGCCTAAATTAGTATAAAAGTAAAACATTGTGCATAGGAAACACATCATAAAATATGTTATAACAATATTGTGAGTTTATTCTTTATGCATTTTGTTACCAAGTGATTAGATTAAAACTTACCACCACTTGTTTTTAGGGTAAAATCTTCAAAAATATTCATCCAGGAACTCTGTAGCACAGTAAAAGGGTGAAGTCCTGGCTTAATATTTAGGATGAATAAGGAATAAGGGCTTCTTGATCAAATATCTGCATTTTTGTCTCTCTATCCTTCTTCCCATTAGAGTTAATGAGTTTTTAATAAAAAACATAAATTTTTTGTTTTTTATTCTGGCGCGTAGTCTCGACTAATACTAGTCATGAGTGATAATGATAATTAAATATAAATATATTTCTACTACGCAATGTTAGAAAATTTAGAAGATGATTCATGACTGTAACATATTTAAAACAAATATATTTAGTTAATAACTCATAAGTCATTAACTTTAAATTTATTTTATTTACGCAAGTTCCGATCGGCCGGAGTTTTCCTGTTATTTTTAGAAAATATTTATCTCGCATAGCAACGCTCTTTATTTTTTATAAAATTATTGAAACTCAATAAAATTAAAATAGAATATATCAATATCAGTATAAAAGGATAATATATACTTCAGGTAATTAAAATTATAAAAATATCCCTTTATTGTTTTATTGTGAATTTTATAGTCGGGAAATGATAATTAAAATTAAGCTTACTTGTTAACGATAACATTACTCTGTAATTTTATAGGCAAATTGGGATAAATTCTATGATTAGAGTCTCCGATTCGATACATTTCTTTAGAAGAACAAATAACTCCTTGATAAATTGGGAAATTAAAATCATTTGACCTTATTAATACTTATAATTAATTTTTTGTGACACTTATATTATTTTGTTTTTTGGAAATCTGCGAAGCTTTCAAGGGGTGCTCCGCGCTGAATAAGTTTCCAAAATTATATTTCTTTAATAGTAATTTCAAAATTTGTAATAATTTTATATTTTTACAAATACTAAAACCAATGAAACAAATTATTAAAATATAATAAATAACCTTTTTCAATGAAAAATTAAATTTTAAAAATAAATGACCCACCACAAAATCTATCTCTATAGTCGGACTGCAGAGAGTTAAGGCACGGAAACACTATAGGGCATGTAAACACCGTAGGGCATGGAAAAACCATTGGCTTAGGCATGGAAACACCATGGGGCATGGAAACACCATAGGAAACCAAAAAAATGTTTTTGTTTGAACATTTCCAAACTCTGTTTATTCAAAATAAATTGGGTCCCCCCACCCAGATTGTCACTGTTTCCAGATTATTTTAAAGCTACTGCATATATTGTTTGTGCTGTGTAATCATTTCAACTGCTCTTACCTGTATGGCGTATGAAACAGAGAGGCCGACATCCCCACCACTTATACCAGGTGTGACCACAGCAAATATTGCAGAGCCCAGGATGATGATGTTGGCCAGTAGCTCGAGGTTCATACCAAGCCACCTGTGTTAGGTCAAGAAGAAGAACTGTTTTCATCCTGATATTCATAGATATATATTTATACTTGTTTCATTTAGAAAGTGCTCACCTGTGAAAATGAAAATAATAGCTAACCAATTCTAAAATTCTATGACACAGTAAAACCTGGAAATAATGCAAACCATTGGGACTACTAAAGCAGAAGTGCCACTACTTGCAGGGATGGTGCTACTTGCAGGGATGGTGCTACTTGCAGGGATGGTGCTACTTGCAGGGATGGTGCTACTTGCAGGGATGGTGCTACTTGTAGGGATCCACGATGAACGTCCCTACCACGATGAACGAGGGATGGTGCTACTTGCAGGGATGGTGCTACTTGCAGGGATGGTGCTACTTGCAGGGATGGTGCTACTTGCAGGGATGGTGCTACTTGCAGGGATGGTGCTACTTGCAGGGATGTTGCTACTTGCAGGGATGATGCTACTTGCAGGGATGGTGCTAATTGCAAGTTCAGCCAGTGTTAAGAAATTGTTCTGTGCCGGGTTGGGTTATCTCACAGGCGATAGGCAGCACTTTTTCAGGGTTTCTTATTTCCAGGTTTCGCTGCACGGCATAGGTGCACAGCATAGGTGCACAGCATAGGTTAACAGATTGCTAATATCCCATATTGCGAAGTCAATAATCTTTAACTACCTAGAAATTGCATCATTAAAAAAATATAAATCCATGTGCCACAGAAGTAAGCTATCTTTAGAGACAATATTGACACCGTGGCATTGTCACCGTGGCATTGACACCGTGGCATTGACACCGTGGCATTGACACCGTGGCATTGACACCGTGGCATTGACACTGATACCTGTTGGCTGCCAGGCTGATGTAGTAAAATGACTGGTTCCTGTCCACCCTCGCCTTAGACTCTTTGATAAATCTGGCAGAGGCTTCGTAGGCTCGTATGGTTGGCCCACCAGATATGGTCTCACTAAAGTGGCTGTAGATAGGTGACCTGGTCACAGACTCAATACGCTTCAATTGTCTTGATGTTGGAATGTAGAAGTTCTGGAATGTTTATTAGAAACATATTGACTTGCTAGAAAGGGCTTTGGTGGGTTGGAAAAAGGGGGGGGGGGGTCTTAGATGTTCAGGTTCTTGGACATAGTTTTGGACAATAATTGGACAAGAACAGCTTCAATTGTCTTGATGTTGGAAGGTAGAAGTTCTGGAATGTTTATTAGAAACATATTGACTTGCTAGAAAGGGCTTTGGTGGGTTGGAAAAAGGGGGGGGGTCTTAGATGTTCAGGTTCTTGGACATAGTTTTGGACAATAATTGGACAAGAACAAATTCTAATAACACTTTCAACACTATCAAAACGTCTCAAAAGTAATTTATATGGATTAATAAATATTTATAAAATAATTACAACAGCATCTCTGAGTTGAACCTGGCAAAAGAAAAGAAACTGTTTGATAACACCCAGGGGTTGCCTAAGACCACCTGAAAACACATATACCCCACAATTATGAAGTAGCAAGGAAAATAATTTTAAGGGTGGGGGGGGGGGGGGGGGGGGGGTTGCCACAACATGAGGAACTGTATTAATGGGTCGCGGCATTAGGAAGGTTGAGAACTAATGTTTTAAGGTAAAAACATTTCTTATGAAAACAAGTTTATGTTACTGGGCAATGGTTCCCAACCTTTTTTTGACTCACCAAGCCTACCCTATGTCTTACAATTTAAAGGTGTTTAGTACTTGGACCTAGGAGTTTCCTAGAGCGGCCATGGAGCCACTGTAAAGTACTTGAGTGAGGAGCACTAAGGGAACCACAGAACACCAGTTGGGATCCACTGTTCTATGGTAAATAGCTCAATTTTTCTGTTCACACCCATCTATTATCCCTGGGGCTTTATAGGTAACATGAATGTGATTGAAATGTTAAGTATAACGAACCTGAATGAGATGGTACAGTAACATGATGGAGACCACCAGGCTTAGGAACAGAGGTGTGCTCATGGAGATGATGATCAGAGTGCATGAGACAGGTGAAAAAAGTGTAAACTCACCTGAATCAGATAGTAGAGTAACATGATGGGGACAACCAGGCTCAGGAACAGAGGTGTGCTCATGGAGATGATGATCAGTGTCACGAGACAGGTGAAAAGTGTGGAGGTGTAGTCACGGATAATGATTGGCAGGTTGTTGTCGACCACCTGTAACAGTGAATATCAAATGTCAAGGCTGCAGACATCGAAGATCACATTATGAGCACTAGCAAAAAAAACAACAATGAGAACAGTAAATTTGTACAGCTATACGAGGGGTTTAGCTATTTTGACGTATCCTACAATTCTGTACAGTTGGCTCTTAATTGATGCCTTTACTCTTGAGTCCTGCTAAAGTGACACATTCAAAACTCATTATAAAAAAAAAAATTTAATAGCCAGATTTTAATGATTTGATGTTAATTTATGTTTTATAATATTAAATTAGGAACAGAGATTCTTGCCTTACCAAAATAAAGCAACTAAATATCAAACAAGGGTTTTCAAGTCAGACTGGTTTAGACCAGTCAGTTTAGGCCATAACTGTCCTGTGTCAATGTTTGAGTTCAATGAAAATAATCATGTAAATTTACATTTAACATTTTGAAAATATTTTCACACACAAAAAAATTGAAAATCTGATGAAGGATAAATCTTTAGCTGTGCCTCATGAAGACACGGTGAGAACCTCTGTATGTCATGTTATCAAATATCCTATATATTTACACACAAACACATGTGCAGCACTATGTATCTGTTTACCTCAATATCCCTAGAGAATCTGTTCATAATCCTACCCAGCGGAGTGGTGTCAAAGAAGGACATTGGTGACCTGAATATAGACGTCAGCATGCCATAGTGGAGCCTCTTGGCTGCCACCACCATCCTTATCCAGTAGAGAATATTGTGAACCGTCAGGAAAGCCACTGGAAAGGGAGAGAACTAACAACCGTAAGTGCATGCATCAAATAAGTACTCTCTTATGGTAACACTGAGATCTACTGTTGCAATGAAAGTTGAAGCAAAAATATATTCATTTCACCATTCTTTTGAATAAAATAAATGAAGCACAGCCAATTCAGTTATTTCAACTTGAATAACTCACAGAGATGAAATGAGTGATGTAGGACATGCAGGGAATAATAGTTTCAAGATTTCTTTGTTCAGTACTTGTTTCTCTAAATCGCTCACTTTTTGAGTAAAAAATACACAGTATAATTTTTCAAAAATTTACAAATTATCATAATCTAAAAAATAACATGAAGTCTTTTAAGTAGTCCACCTACAATCAAATGACAAAAATACCATATAACATGAAGTCTTTTAGGTAGTCCACCTATAATCAAATGACAAAAATACCATATAACATGAAGTCTTTTAGATAGTCCACCTATAATCAAATGACAAAAAGACCATAAGTATAACTATCATAAATGACATAATGTTATGGTATTTCTCTACGTGGCATCAACAGTAAGATGGATACCTTGGAAACAAGCCTTCGGTTTTGGTCTCACAGTTACCTACCTTGAGCAATACCAAACACACCAAAAATCCAAAGGTAAAAGTCATTTTTCTCCTTGTACTCATTCGTGTGAAGGTGGCTCGTGTTGGCCAGGTAAGGGTCATCTGTCCAGTCAGTCAACCAAAAGTTTGACCAGGCACTGGCCACTTGGAACAATGCAAAGAATAGGAAGGATATAGCAATGGCGCAGGTCCCTGAAGCTTTGCTGTAGGCCCAGAAAACGGCCATCTTCACCTGGACACAAGGGACAAGAAAAAAATGAATGATTTAATATATTTGATAGACCTGTGTTTACCAGGTATCAGCATAACATGTGGGACATTAATGTTTCGGTTAAAAAAAAAGGACGCTTATTGAAAGGACATGGAATGTCTGATCAATATTTCTAACCTAGAATGCTTGCTGAGACTTCTGTTACACAATGTGCATTAGATTTATACACAATTCCAATTTTGTTTGTTTTTTTAACAATATGAGTAAGTTTGGGTTGGTGCGAACTCAGTGACGTTGAAATTTGGGTTTCGCCTTCCGCAGGGTTTGGGTTCAGTTTGAGTTTGGTCATCAGCACGGTTCGAGTTTGGTGCGTTCGGTTCGACTCCCATCTCTATTTCTAATTTGTAAAATGAATTAATGTTGTAATGTGTTCTAATGTGCTGTCATGAGATGTAATGTGTTGTGATGTACTGTAATGTGTAAAAGGAAGAAGCCAGCTAACCTAAATAATACTGCGTCATCACTTGACATTTTAAACTTGACCAAATCAATACTAAATATATTAAAGAAAGATTTTATCTGGTTTACCAACCTTGCCCTTCTCTAGTTTCTCTGCCTGCACCAGTTTTCCTAAAGCATTACCTCCCTTGTCTTCCTCTTCATAAATGACAGTTTGTGAGTGCATCAAGAGTGACGTTGTCATGGAGGACTCATATGTCATTGACATTGTGCGTCTTTGGGAGGTAAAACATAAGAATGGAAGTTATTCAAAGAATTAAAATATGTTCAGTCATCTGATTTTATACTATGGCTTTATAATTAGATTAATTCATCCCATCTGAAAAATCTAAGTGCATTGCCAGAAGTGTATTACTAAATTAATAGAAGAGATTGCTAGACCTAAAAGATTATTTTAAAAAATGATTAATCATGATTTCAATTTATTCCCCCCTCACAATTTTCAGAAGTGTTACCATAAAAGTGCAAATAAGTTTGAATTGTCTTATAAAATGGATTTTTAATGCAGTTGACCTCCTGGGGGATAACATTAGTCTTAAATATCTTCAGAAAATTTAAGTATAGTTTATATAGTTTATGTATGGTAAATATTGTTAGTTTAATTAGTTCAAAGTTGAAGATGAACAACAGAATAAAATATCAATCAAAGTTATCCTAAAACAAATATGAGATAAGAATTGTTATCAATCAAGTATTAACACATCCGTCCATGTCAAGAACCCAACCATGCATCGATAAGTTCAATCAAGACGTCCAGGCTACAAGTCAATCAAGACAATCATTCCTGTTACAAGTTTCTTTGTTAAGTTTGGTTAATGAACACTGCAAATTTGTCTCATGCCGTGTGAGCATATTGCATCAAATAAAGTCTTAGAGGAGTCCATGTTCCGAACTCTTAGCTTGAGAAATAACACATGCTTTTGTTGTTAGTCATGAGAACATCACAAGTTGCTGTGATGATAGAACTTGATGATGCTATTTGTGTTAAGTAGGTCTCAAACAGAGATTAACAATTTATTATTAAATGTTAGGGAAAAAGAAACAGAAGCGAGCAAAGTGTCTCTACTGACTCCTTATGAACACTTGGCCTCCTACTGAGCTGGAAGCTGACATTGGATGAGCGCCTTGAGCTAGGTGTGCAGGTGTCAGGGGAATACCCCTGGCTTGGACTGAAGACCCCTGACCTGGCCTCATAAAATGCAGTATTTGTAGGGTCACTGTTGCTTGTCAATGGTATTTTATCCATCCGTGACCAGTCAGCCACAGAGTCAATCATATCCAAGGACACTGAGGTCTGCTTTCGTACCACTCTCCCTGAAGATTGTCCTAATTCTTCCAACAGGTCCTGAGAGGCCACCAGGAATGTGGTCCCTGTGGCTCTGCTGCCTTTTCCTGCTGTGCTCATTGTTTCTGAAAAGTTGATGTCAAATGGTGTAGAGGTGTAAGCCGGATGAGCTGCTCTGTCTGCACCGGGTGTGGGGAATCCAAACATTGATGTGGCTTTCTCACCAGGCTTAAGAATCTTACCAAAGGGTTTCTGAAAGGCAGATTGAAAGCTGGGCAAACCAGCAGCAGAGATCGACTTCCCCACATGAGAGTTGAATGCCTGCGCTGCTGTCTGTTGCGGTGGTGGTTCCACGGAGACAGGCACCGAATGCAGTGATTTCCGGGCGGCCATGGTAGACAGGTAACTGTTGCCCAGCTGTGTGAGATCCTGATAGGTCTGTGAGGCCTCCGGCACTGCTGCCAAGATGTACTCATCAGATGACATGGAGGAATCAGGAGTGTACAAAGTCTTGGTTGATGATGAGGAGGACAGCAAAAACTTTTCAGACATCACCTCTGTTGACTCTTGTTTGGATTCATGTCCATTCTTAGAAACACCAGCCGCTAATTCATTGTCTGGAGATGTTTCCACTGCAGCTCCACTGGCAAGAGATGCACCTTCAGCTTGAGCCTTGCACTCTCCAGACAAAGTGACATCTTTTACTGATAAGATTACTTGAAAATTGTCTGGCTTTCCCTCAAAAGTTCTAACTGTACTAGCATGAGAGGTCTCCTCATCAACTGAGGCCCAAATTTCCAGGTCTTTCACTTTTGGTGAGCCTGGTTGAACACATTCCATTTCTGACTGTACTGTTGACTTTGATAGATTTTTGTCTTCCCCCCCTGTCATTGTGCCAGTGCAAGATGCATGTATGACCAGTGAGCCATCCTTCTGAGACAAACTTGTATCATCTGAATACAAAGAATAAGTTGGTGCCTTCAGTTGGTTGCTGGCATAGTCCACATACAGAGTCTTGCTGGAGTAATCCACAAACAGAGTAATTTCGTCAAGGTCTTCAAACTCATCCAAGCTTGGACTTGATGGCCTCTCCATAGTTTGATCATTGTAAAAGTCAGTATCAGCGAGGCTTGTGCTAGTTAGAGGGTATTTGAAAATGAATGAGCCATTGCTTCTCCAATCCCATTGTTTCCGTTTACTTTCACAATAGAAGGTGAGCAAAATAAACATAATAATACAAATGGAAGCTTTTCCATTAGTCTTAGGACTTTTCAGGGAGTGGGCTTTAAATCTAATCATTTCTATTGTCAGCATTCTAAAGGCAGTGGGCTTTAAATGTAATCATTTCTAGTGCCAGGGTTCTAATGGCAGTGGGCTTTAAATCTAATCATTTCTAGTGCCAGCATTCTAAAGGCAGTGGGCTTTAAATCTAATAATTTCTAGAGCCAGCGTTCTAATGGCAGTGGGCTTTAAATCTGATTATTTCTAGTGCCAGTGTTCTAATGGCAGTGGGCTTTAAATCTTATAATTTCTAGAGCCAGCGTTCTAATGGCAGTGGGCTTTAAATCTAATAATTTCTAGTGCCAGCGTTCTAATGGCAGTGGGCTTTAAATCTAATCATTTCTAGAGCCAGCGTTCTAATGGCAGTGGGCTTTAAATCTAATAATTTCTAGTGCCAGCATTCTAATGGCAGCGGGCTTTAAATCTAATAATTTCTAGAGCCAGCGTTCTAATGGCAGTGGGCTTTAAATCTGATTATTTCTAGTGCCAGTGTTCTAATGGCAGTGGGCTTTAAATCTTATAATTTCTAGAGCCAGCGTTCTAATGGCAGTGGGCTTTAAATCTAATAATTTCTATTGCCAGCATTCTAATGGCAGCAGGCTTTAAATCTAATCATTTCTAGAGCCAGCGTTCTAATGGCAGTGGGCTTTAAATCTGATTATTTCTAGTGCCAGCGTTCTAATGGCAGTGGGCTTTAAATCTAATCATTTCTATTAATATTGATCAAATGGGATGGGCAGCCTGTATAATTAGAGGTCATTGGTTGAAAAGATTTTATTATGAGGGTCAGCAAAAGATGGTCTCTCATTCATTGAAGCAACCATTACGTCCATTGCATTAAAACACATTTTACTTTCAAAAGCTGATGAGCCAACACCACTAAGTGCCTCTCTGAGCAGGTGCAATTAGGTTTTAGGACAAACTTCACTCTATTTTAATGGGTTCTAAGAATTACACAGTAACAAGTTTACATAGGAGGACACCTACCTGCCTGGAAGGCGAGCGGGTCTGGCTTGGCCATCATCACCTGAGGTGGCATCAGATGTTGCAGTTTCAACATCATTCCAGATTTTAGATGTCATGGCTTGGACTAAATATAACATGGAAACAAAGCTGAGCTGAGGCCAAGTACAATAGGGTGACCAAATCATGATCTGGAAAAAAAACGGGACGCACCCAAGGGGGGTTTGGGGGGGGGGGGGTACCCTCCAGGAAAAGAGTGGTTCGGGGCCTCCGCCAGCACTGTTTATTGAAATATGCTCAGCTTAACTATTTTGAGACCTAGAAATCTTTTTAAATTTACCTTCACTTTTGTAATTTAATTTAAACTCTGAGGCATATCATAAATGAAAACAATAATTTTTCAGTGAATACTTTATCTATTTATACATATTTAAAAAAATAATACAACACAACAATATAAATTTCTGTAGTCTAGGATTTAAATTTAGGATATTTGGCTGCTGTCCAAGCCATTGTTAAAACCTCATTCTTAACTAATATGTGAAAATGTGTTTGGTTTTAGAAACGGGACATTTAGGAGTCCCGAGAGACTTTTTTGGGACACCTGGTACGATCCTGAAAAAACGGGACATCCCGTTTTTATGGGACGTTTGGTCACCCTAAACTACAAACATCACTTTTCTCTAATTAGTCTTGTTTTTAAGTCAAGAACATATTATTTTTTTTTAAAATTAGAATTTACCAATGGCTAAAACCCTGTTATTTTTAAGAAAACCAAAAACTATTTCAATGATAATGTATATTTTAGGATAGTTTTATAAAATTTTATTTACAATAAGTGTGAAGAAAAACCTTTCATTGTTTGATCTGACAAGGCAAACCTTTTATTGTGAGCTGATCAGACAAACCTGTAATATAACTTTATTTGACCATTCCACTGCAGACATTAATCCAGAGTCCAGAATTCAGAAACTTTATAAATAGTTCAAAATTTAAGTACCTTAAGTTGAAACATTTGGAACACTTGCCCAACAGCAGTGTAAGCCATTAACAATGTGAGAATCCCTGACTTACTCTCTGGATCAGTTTCCTCATCCTTGTCTCCCTGAAGGAGGTAGGTTTTGATGAACTCTGCAAAGGCTCCGTTGTGGGACATAAGGTCCTCATAGCTTCCAGACTCTCTGATCTCCCCATTCTCCAGCACCATGATGGAGTCCACCATGGGTAGCCAGTGAGCCCCATGGGTCACAAGAACTCTGGTCTGCACAGATGGTAGGGAGTGTTTTAATTCTTTAATAACAGTACAGCCGAGTCAAGTGTTAGTTTAACATGCATGTGAAGGAAATGATTAAAATAGTTTTTAAATTATCATAACCATCGCACTGACTGGCGACCCGACCAACATTTCTACCATGGGGATACAGGTTGGTAATCTGCTGTGAGCTGTGAGACTGCTGAAGATTATTCATGTCATGTACTTTGAAGGTATCAACCCCCTACATGAATGGTATCAACCCCCAGCATAGAGAGTATCAACCCCCTGCATGGAGGGTATCAAACCCCAGCATAGAGAGTATCAACCCCCTGCATGGAAGGTATCAACCACCAGCATGGAAGGTATCAACCCCAACCCCCAGCATGGAAGGTATCAACTCCCAGCAAGGAGGGTATCAACCCTCAGCATGAAGGTTTCAAGTCCCCAGCATAGAAAGTATCAACCCCCAGCAAGAAGGATTTAAGCCCCCAGCATGGAAGGTACCAACCCCCAGCAAGGAGGGTTGAAGTCCCGAGCATAGTGGTATCAAACCCCAGCATGGAGGGTTTAATCTATTGCCTCTATCTGTCCATTTTTATGTCATCAGCCAAAATTCATCCGATATTTTAACTCCAGGCACTATCAAAGCAGCTGACCACTGACATTTATGTTCATTTTCTCCACTATGAGGATTTAATGTTCACAGTGTGGCTTGTTATTGGGTAAATGGGCATGACCTTCCGCTAGTGTTCAATGTTCTGTTACTGATCAATAACTGAGTTTTCGTCCACGTACCTTTCCTTTGAGCATGCCTTTGTGGCCTATGACTTTGTTGAATATGTGCTTGCCAACATGTGTGTCCACAGCAGACAGGGGGTCATCAAAGATGAAGATGTCGGCGTTGCTGTACACGGCCCGGGCCAAGCTGACCCTCTGCTTCTGTCCTCCACTCAAGTTGATCCCCTGGGGACAAGAAGCAACGTGTCATTTGCGTCAAGGAATAGAAGATAGCAGAAATAACAGCAGGTGTCATAAATGAAAAGAGCTTCATCAAAGCAAAACAAAGAAATATATTGTTGATTTGTCCATCTGAAGTGGTGAACAACACCACGCATTCATCTGTTTGACTTCACCTGTGACACCACAAGTCCTGCACATTGTGGCACCCTAATACAGTTCATATAACAAGAACAGCCTTCAAACAGATGGCTTGTAGAGTGCACAATTCAGATAAGGAAAGCTACACTGTCTTGGGTGACTATGTACAGAAGGTGGATTATGTCAGGGGGAATGTTGGCAACACAGTACATGAACCCCAAAACATTTTTCAGACCTCACATTTTGTTATGAATCTCAGAGCTTCAAATATATCATTTTATTAATTCTTCAGTTTCAAATATCTCATTTGATCAATCTCACAGTTTCAGATGTCTCATTTGATCAATCTCGATATATCAAAAATCTCATTTTAGGAATCCAAAAGTTTTAAATTACTCATTTAATCAATCTCAGAGTTGCATATATCTCATTTTATGAATATTTTTCAAATATCTCAATTTATCAATTTCACAGTTTCAAAATCTCATTTTATGAATACCATATTTCAAATATTTCATTTTATGAATCTCACAGAGTCAAATATCTCACATATTATGCTTACACATGCATACATTTACTTTTATCAACAAAATACCTTTTTCAGCAAACTCCAAAATGTTCAGAAATTTATCAACAAAATATCTTTTTCACTAAACTCCAACATGTCGGCACATGTTTGACAAAATACCTTTTCACCGATCTCTGTCATGTCCCCAGCCGAGAGAATCTCCAAGTCCCTCTCTAAGGCACAAGCAGAGATGACCTTCTTGTACCTCTTCTTGCTGAAAGGTTTCCCAAACAGGATGTTGTCTTTCACTGTGGCATTCTGGATCCACGCCTGCTGGGGCACGTAGGCAAGCTTGCTCTGCAAGAGATTAAGTTATTTAAATACACAGAGCATCCTTATGATAATACATGTTTCCAATAGGAAGATCAGGACATTGATGCACCTTGGCTCGTGATGAGGAACCAACATCAGTGTCCTAGGGTTGGATGATATGATGTTATACAATTTTTTTTGCCAACCCCTTATTATTTTTTGGAGTTTGGTTATCCGTTTCTACAACGTACCCAACAGCTCCCAAGCTTGTATTTCATACCTAATAAAACATAATTTTGTTCGTATTGATTCAAACTTAAGTAGCTCCACCCAAAATATTATTATTTGAACCATTAAAGTACGGGACTTTTTGTTGGTAGAAGACTTGAGCAAAATGAAATCAATTTGATCAGAAATGATGAGTACCTTTATTGAAGCAGTGCCAGACAACCTCTCCATTTCACCCAGCAGTGCAGACATAAGGGAACTCTTGCCACAACCCACAGGTCCCACAACAGCATACAGCTTGCCCTCAGGGATTCTCAAATTGATGCTGTAAGGATAATAAGCAATTAAAAAGGATAATGTGTTATTTTGACAGTGATTACAAGTATGCCAGTAAAAAGATATCCCAAATATTTAGACTACTACTGGAATGAAATAATATAAATGTGCCCATGGAAAAAGCAGCAATCAATAATGATGGTCAGTGAGTGATACCTGTAGTGTATAGGCATTAACATTTAGTTAAGGCATTGCTTTATTGAGAGAGGTTGTTAATTTATTGGCTGGTTTAAGAAAAAAACATTTTTTTTAAACAGTTTAACATATTACCATGTAAAATTCTCTATTTTTAACAATAGCTATTTCACAGTAGTCAGTGGTTTTTTTAATCCTTTATATTAACTTTGCTTTTGTTCGTGGCTGGCAAAATCTTAGGATGGCTAATTGATCCACTTCCCATCAACCTATCAAGCTGAAACTTGGCACATAAAGACTCGTTGCCGATGACAACATATTCTATCAAATTTTCAGCCCCAACCCCAACTTCCAACAACCAGTTTTTCCCGGTTTTCAAGGGAAAATGAAGGAAATATGAGGACATTGATTTCACACCAGAAACAAAACAACCCGATATCTGCGCTAAATGAGATTCTTTTTAAAAAAATGTCGCAAGTGTGTTTGGTGAGTAATGTTTTCTTTTGCCTTTCTGAAATGGTGAAATAAATCTGAAGTGTAAAAGCGGGTGGGTCATTGCAATATTAATGTATTTCAGGAGCTTGAAAAAATATGTTGGTTGTGAGCCTTTGGGGGGGGGGGGAGAGCACTATATCTGATGCTTATAAAGGGCGTAGATTTTTATAAAGGATTTATAAGAAAAAGTTAGTTTTTAGAGGTTGTTTAATTTAAATTAAAATGCCAAGATGTTCTTGTGTTAGAAGACTCAGTGTTTGATGTGTCCCAGTACTCAGTGTTTGGTGTGTCCCAGTACTCAGTGTTTGTAGTACTGGGTTGTGGGCTATGCTGTCCTTACTTTCTTAATGTAGGTCCCGCCGACTTGTCCCAGGTAAAAAATCCATTCTCAACCTCAATGGCAAAATCTAGAAAGAGAAAATGATGTTTGTTAAAAATATTTATTTTCTTATTTAAACATCTGTGTGTTAGCAGGACCAAGCTGTAACCAAAATTATGAACCCAGTGCAAACAACATATAATTTTTAGTCTCATCCCAGAAAGTCTTGACTTTTTCACCAGAACAATACAAATTTAACTTTTCCTACAGTTACTAGACTTAAAATCTCCAAAGTGTTTGAATGTAACAACTGGAACAAGAGTCAATAAAATGAACTTGATTTATCCATTCATTTAATCAATGAGTAACAAAAAAAAAACTCTTTAAAAAGTGTTACTCTATCAACAATTTATCAACACATTTAGACAAAGAATAGATAACCCTTACTAGCTCTGCTGTCTTTAACGACATTGTCTGGCCTCAGGTCCCCAGTGCACAAAAATGCATTGATTCTTTCAATTGATACTACAGCCTGTTGATGGGATCATACTGATAGTTAAACCATGTTGGGTCATGCACTTTTCCACACTAAAAAAATTTATACAAGACACACCTTCTCATCCCAGGTATAAACCCTTTTTTCCACCATCGGATATAATGGTATACCTTCCAACCCTTGATAGAATAGTACGCCTTCCAAACACTGTCATAAGCCCTACTTTCTACCATTGGATATAATGGTATACCTTCCAACCCTTGATAGAATAGTACACCTTCCAAACACTGTCATAAGCCCTACTTTCTACCATCGGATATAATGGTATACCTTCCAACCCTTGATAGAATAGTACACCTTCCAAACACTGTCATAATCTCTACTTTCCACTATCGGATATAATGGTACAATTCTCCCCATCCCCCATATAATGGTACACCTTTCCACCCCTAGTATGCAAGTACATACTTGTTATAAAGGAGTGTTTTAAAATTTAAAAAGCAATATTGATGGACTAGAGTTGATGTCTTCTCCAGCCATATGTTACAATTGGGAGAGAATTCATTCAGAGATACAGTAACCACCAAAGTTTGACAACAGTCGCCAACTTGACTGGCCAACTAGACAGGCCAACATGATAGGCCCACTTGACTGGCCAACATGACAGGCCCACTTGACTGGCCAACATGACAGGCCAACTTGAGGGGCCAACTTGATGGGCCATCTTGATGAGCCAACTTGACGGACCAACTTTACAGGCCAACTTTACAGGCCAACTTTACAGGCCAACTTGACAGGCCAACTTGACAGGGCAACTTCACGGACCAACATGACAGGCCAACTTGATGGGCCAACTTGACAGGCCAAAGTGACAGGCCAAATTGATGGGCCAACTTGATAGGCAAAATTGATGGTCCAACTTGACAAGCCAGATTGATGGGTCAACTTGACAGGCCAGATTGATGGGTCAACTTGACAGGCCAGATTGATGGGTCAACTTGACAGGCCAAGTTGACAAGGGTGGCAAACAAGCTGTTAAATAATTGAGAATGAGACTTAAGAAGGGGCGGGGTTGGGGGGGTGTTCAGCTCTAAGTGGGTGCTAGCACTTGATATGGTGTAAACAAGACAATTTTCATTACCATCTCAAAGGCTCATTTGTGACGGGAGTTCACTCAAGGGCACTTCTGCTATCGCTATCAGATAAAAGAGATAAGTATGCTGTACACACAAAAAAAAAAAGGGCTGTGGCCAAGTGGTCTCAAACAAAGACAGAATGTCCTTTTTTGGCGGAAATGAGTCTCACAATCAAAATACTCTAAAGAAACGTGTATGAGTTTGGCTTTTTAAAGATCACAACATAAACAAGACCAGATATGTTTGAGATTAAAATTCATTAAAAAAAAGTATATTTAAATTGTTAACTTAGGTAAGTAATGATTTGTCCTTCATTTGAAGCCTCACTTCAACTCTCCAGGCCTAATGCCTATTCTCATACAATATATGTGCAGCTATTTTCTGACACAAACACTACAGTTTGAATAAGATTTTTTCTTCCTAATTTGACACCATAATACACCTGAGTAAGGAAGATCTGCACAGGTCACTAATACTATTGAGACAAGGAAGAAATATTCATTTGTGCTATTTAAGCAGTGGAGCAGCTCCAGCAGACAGAAAGGTAAAGGTTACCTAGAACTGAAGGCAGAGACAACTGAAAACTGTGGTCAAGTTACAAGTAACAACTTAGGGAAGGCAACCAATGTAACGTCATTTGTATAAACCCCTGGTCTAATGCCAACAATCGCTTTCATCACCCAAACCACAGACTAAAACTAGGAAAAGGAAAAAAACATCCCTTTTCACCAAAAAATAAATAAAAAATCTACAAGGATTAAAAAGTAAAAATTAAATTGGGTTTTAAGCCTATCCCATCAAATTGAGTCCCATGAAGTTCCTGACGGGCAATGTCCCTATTTCATGTTGTCATTAAACCAATCACATACATAACCAGAGATGGCAGTGCCCATGGGCTGTTGCAGTGGGCTTTAAGTAACTATGGCTACATACAAAGAACAATAACCATTACCTGAACACTCATGGAAATGATGGTGGAGAGTAGAGCCAAGGGAACTCTAAGGAGGTTGAAAAAGCTCAGTGCTACAAACGCCTTGTTGGCATCCAAGTGGTTGTCCTCTGACATGGTGACATACACAGCAAAGGTTGCCAGCATAACCTGTGACATTGGGATGTAGACAAAATCAATTAGTCTGTTTTACCAATCAATAATTAGCATTGTCTAATCTAGTGTCAGTGGAGGCTGACATAGTGATATACTAATGTTGTGCCAGGACAACCAGAGTTATAAACAAATAATTAGTAAGTCTGTCTTACTGATCAGTAACTAGCAATAACTATAAAATATAAAAATTTGAAAGCTATTACAATTACAAAATACTCATAACAAGCAGTTAATAGAACAGTTTATGGTGGGCAATGATCCCCCAGGGCTATTATTTTATGGGGCAATGCTGTTATAGGACAAAGTTTTTATAGGGAAACTACTAGTGGTTTGAGCTGAAGAGTTAGTCACTGCATTTGGGTGGAATAATCTGTACTATTTACTAATGACATCACCATCATTTAAAATAAAGACATTGATTTAGTTTGAACAACAAAATTGATATTCAAAATTTAAATAAGTTCAGAGTTTTCCAAAACTATGTCTTTTCATCCCTTGCCCCACAGTAAATATAACTTGGCTTTTAATTTTAAATAAACATCTGTGGGTGACACAAAACCTTTAAAAAAAAACAAATCTTTCAGGGTATCATTCTCAACAGCCCTTGAGGACCACTGCCTAAAATGGACAATTCTCTTACCAGGTAAGGGGCGGCATTGAAGCAAACACTTATGAGAACATTGAGGTAGGCAATTTTGAGAAGAACCCTGGTCTCCTGGCCACGTATCTCAGAGATCTTGTTGTGAAACGGGGGCTCCCAGGCGTACAGTTTCAACACCTGATATCAAAGACAATGAGAAAGATAAGCTGATGCCTCGACAGCAAAAAAAAAAAAAAAAATTATACACGCAAGCAGGATGTGATCCAAAAAAAATGTGAAACGGGGGCTCCCAGGCGTAAAGTTTCAACACGTGATATCAAAGACAATGAGAAAGATAAGCTGATGCCTCGACAGCAAAAAAAAAAAAAAAAATTATACACGCAAGCAGGATGTGATCCGATGAAATATGATGAGCGAGGGCAACCTAAAATGATAAAGGAGGAATTCTGGGGAGAAAAATGACTATTATATAAGGCAATTTTCCTAACAACTGAATTAAACTTAAACCCATCTAATCCAGGTAAAAAGAACTTAAGCCAAATTTATGTTATCAAGTTAAGAATATAGTTGAGAAGGGTTAATTCCATTTCCATTGCAAATTATAAACTGTTTGGCTGGGGTCATTATAACAGAATATTCATATTTAAGTAGTGGCTTTTGAAAAGTGTTGGGCTAATGGGAGCCACTATTTATATACAAGTTTTTGGGCTGATGGGAGCCACTATTTATATACCAGTTGAACAGTAACAGACAAAGTAGGGCAACAACAGTGGTGGGTGTGCCGAAGGAATGTGAAACAGAGAAAAAAAGTAGGAATCTTTGAATGCAAGAAACAGTTATTCATTTAAACCCAAACTATTGGAATGTTTCAGTTTCACCAACCTTCATGCCACACAGAGCCTCATTAGTCAAACGGAGCCTCGCGTCCTTGTACTTGAGATTTTCCACCTGCAATGTCTGCTGCTTGGCCGCTATGTAGGAGTTGAAGGGGACAGTGAGAAGCAGCACAGCCAGGCCGGCAAACACAGAGAAACCGATGTACTGGTACAGAACAGCTATGGCTATGACAACCTGGTCATTGAAACATAAGGAAGTATTGGCACAGCACAGCTATAGTTATCACCAATTGGTATAGTGATAGTCATGTTTTAACCAAGAAAAATTGGTCCAACTATTTGGGATGAAAGGCAGGCAAGGTGGTGTTTAACTGCACATTTTGTAAAGGGCAACATCTCAGCTAAGCTATCAAAGATATCTAGTTAGTTATCACAGATATCTAGTTAGTTATCACAGATATCTAGTTAGTTATCACAGATATCTAGTTAGTTATCACAGATATCTAGTTAGTTATCACAGATATCTAGTTAGTTATCACAGATATCTAGTTAGTTATCACAGATATCTAGTTAGTTATCACAGATATCTAGTTAGTTATCACAGATATCTAGTTAGTTATCACAGATATCTAGTTAGTTATAACAAATATCTAGTTAGTTATCATAGACTTCTAGTTAGTTATCACAGATATCTAGAAATCTTCAAAGAATTGCGATGCAGATTTAAAACATACATATGTTGTCCATACATAAAAATGGACTAAAATTTTTCAAGGGTTTGAAATTTGTTCTATACATGTTTTGAATACAAATTGTTTCCTACACATCATAGGCACACTCTCAATGGTCTATGATGCCACCATTTGACACAAGGCGCACTCTCAATGGTCTATGATGCCACCATTTGACACAAGGCACACTCTCAATGGTCTATGATGCCACCATTTGACACAAGGCCTCGTGTTGGAGTAAATTTAAAAAAGACCTGCAGTGGGGTTGTCCAGGCAAAGAAGAAAAAGTTCATGACGTCCTGCACTCTCTGACAGTCCACAGACATCAAGTTGACAATTTCTCCAGCCGTTGAATCTTTCTTGGACTCATTGTTCATGGTTAGGGCCTGTCAGGGACGCAAACAAAGGTGATATTAAAACAATGTTTTGATGGATTTACTGATTGATAAATATACAGCTTCATCCCAACTACATCGCAAATTAGTTGCGTTGCGGAAACCCACTGTAGAATCCCTCTTATAGGGCGTCTAACGCTTCCCCGGGATGGGTGGGGGAAGATATTAGGGCGTAAATTTTTCCATCCCGAGTCCTGAGAAAGCCGATCGTGTGCACTGTGTGCAAACACAGTGTCGGACTGACTGGGTGTCTTTGGGTTAGGACGGCCCCCGGCGGAGACCCTGGTTGAGCAGACTCGGGTGGGGGCTGTCCTGACAAAGGGACATCCACGACGTTCCGCGGCCCGATACCGGGTTGGGGAGGAGTGTTTTGGGGAGGGCATAAAGAGGGCAAGCTCGACGGCCCGCTGACGCCATTTCTTAATATAACATAAATATACAGCTGGAGAGTCAGTGTGTTGTAGAATATTTTTTTTACTTGCAGCCCTAGCATCAGGTTAAAATTGTTAGAATATCTGGTAAAAAAGTTTTAAAATTTTTTATCAGACATTGGAAGGACTTTTGAGAAATTCCTATAGGGCCACCTTTTGGCATACAAAAAAAAAAAATTCTTCAAGTAGTAATACATGTACTTAACATAAGGGCTGATTCAGGTGAAGTTTTTTAAAACACGGTCCAGGCATTTTGAGACCATACCGAGTAGGTTAAAATCAGGCCTGGGTTATTACAATTCAGGAATTATCTATAGAAAATGAATTGTGAATTTGGTTTATAGTGTATGCCAAGCCTGCACAACTCAAAATGTAAAGCAGGCTGTCATAATTTATAAAAAAACTTGTGCAGGCCAAAAGAAAATAGGACAGGACTTGTGTAGGCCAAAAGAAAATAGGACAGGACTTGTGTAGGCCAAAAGAAAATAGGACAGGACTTGTGCAGGCCAAAAGAAAATAGGACAGGACTTGTGCAGGCCAAAAGAAAATAGGACTCCTGAACACGTCCGGTTTTCTTTTATCCTGTCCTGAACACGTCCCCAAAAGAAAATAGGACAGGACTTGTGCAGGCCAAAAGAAAATAGGACAGGACTTGTGCAGGCCAAAAGAAAATAGGACAGGGGGGATTGCTATTAAGAAAATAATAAGAATTTCGTTTCTTTGCAGGTAACAAAGTGGATGCTGGCAGGCTGCATGTGGCCCGCGGGCCGTATTTTGTGCAGGCCTGCTGCATGCAATCAACATTCAGTGCCTTCATCCTGAATAAACCAAATTTACAATTTTACACAGCTGCTGTTTTTTTCCTCTTTGGTTTTTATATTGTACTTACACCCACTTTCTTTCCATTTTTCTGATCTTTGTTTTCATAAGGAAATTTTGCCATTCATATTCTTTTCTTTTACATTTTTTAGATACAGGAAGGATATACATATATTATTTAAATTTAATTTATAATTATATTAATGTTTTTTATTAATATACTGAAGGCATTTTCCAAAATGTTTGAAGTTTCTTTGGTCCAATTATAATTCAAGGTCAACATATATTGTTTTCATTTATGGAACAGATCTAGATCATCACCACTTTCAATCCACTAGGTCAGTGGGTGGTCGGCAAATTGCGGCTGGCTAGCCGCTCTTTAGTGACCTGAGTGCGGCTCGAACAACGGCCACATGTCGGTTTGACTCTAAAAAAAAGGTTCTTGACAGGTTTTGGAAAAAAAAATTGGCTCTCAAAATTTTGTTTAGTTGTCCTGCTGTTGATTTTTGGCTCTTTTGACTAATGAATTTGCTAACCACTGTACTAGGTAAAGCAGAATTATATCTCCACCATTATAACTCCACTAGGTGGAACAGATTCAAATCTCTACCATTATAATTCCAGTAGCTGGAACAAATTCAAATCCATCAAACCAGGAAATAGTACATAGGTTGGGGTTAAGTTTGACAAAAACATGTTTTCAAAATAAAAAAATTTGACCTACTTTTCTATTTAAATCTGCCAATGAGGTGCTTTATATTCAATTTAAAAAAAAACTAGGTTAGCTGCTAATGGTCAGTAATTATTGGTCCAGTTTTTAGATAAATTCAAAATTCAATTTGCCCTGGCATTTCATTTAAATGGACCAGTAGAAAGCTTTGGATTTTTGAAACGATATGGACCAGAGTGAATATTAACATTTGACAAACAAGTCCGATGTGACAATGGTCAGGACGTGTCATGGAATCATTATACTCAATTAGTCATGCCTGGTCAATTTAACCAATTCAAATAGAGTCAATAGGTCGCACACCTCAACTATTTTGTTCTACTGCGCTTTACCCCTGGTCAATGCAACCAATTCAAATAGAGACAATAGGCCTCACACCTCAACTATTTTGTTCTACTGTGCTTTTATCTCATCCCACTGACGGAATGCCATGGCCAAATATGTGCTGAATGCCATGGCCAAATATGTGCTAAATGCCATGGCCAAATATGTGCTGAATGCCATGGCCAAATATGTGCTGAATGCCATGGCCAAATATGTGCTGAATGCCATGGCCAAATATGTGCTGAATGCCATGGCCAAATATGTGCTGAATGCCATGGCCAAATATGTCCTGAATGCCATGGCCAAATATGTGCTGAATGCCATGGCCAAATATGTCCTGAATGCCATGGCCAAATATGTGAAACAATTTAAGCAAAGTATTGACCTGAATTAATCTTAAAAAAATTTTAGATTAATGTTTTATAAAAGTTACATTTATTGAAAATTTCAGTAGTAATGATAGACTCCAAGAATTACAACCAAATAAAGAATGTTTGTCCCTTGCCCAACTCATACAAGTGATATCACTCTTTGTGTCACATACCAGCAACATGTGGGCCCACCTGACAGCTTCTCCCATTCCTGTTGTATGTAATATAGAGCCTTTATAGTAAAGTAGAAACCCTTCAGTTGTAATTTGAGGCATGACATACAGATAAGCCATGAATGAAGTCAGGAACTAGTTTGGCATGTTGACACAATTGGGGTGGATTCAAAATCTATTACACTTGCACTTATAAGTTTGATTGAGATGTCACAAGCCAGCATGTGAACTGACAGGTGGCAAATCATCTATTGACAGCCACTTAACGGGGGGGGGGGGGGGGAAAGTTTGCTTTATTACGTAATTCTAAATGTTTAAATTCCTTAAAGTACCTCAAGATGACCAGCTTTTACGAGGTCTAATGGAAGTCGGCATGCTAAATAAAACCACAGTATCTCTGGTCAGCCTCAAGCTGACCGGCTTTGGTAAATTCTAAAATCATTCATACACTATGCCTTGCTTTTTACTTACACAAGTAACTATTCTAATAATATGACTAGAATGTTCAAACAATTAACAATAAATTTGTTTGATAAATATTAATTATTTGATTCTATTATCCATTTTGATGTAAAGGCCAGAGTCTACAAACTGGATTCTTAAATAGTTTTCCATTGACTTGTTTCAACCACACTCTAAACAAATGCAACTTTGGCTTATCACAGAAGAAAACCCAACTTTGGCTTATCACAGAAACAAACCCAACTTGGCTTATCACAGAAACAAACCCAACTTTGGCTTATCACAGAAACAAACCCAATATTGGCTTATCACAGAAACAAACCCAACTTGGCTTATCACAGAAACAAACCCGATATTGGCTTATCACAGAAACAAACCCAACATTGGCTTATCACAGAAGAAAACCCAACTTTGGCTTATCACAGAAACAAACCCAACTTTGGCTTATCACAGAAACAAACCCAACTTTGGCTTATCACAGAAACAAACCCAATATTGGCTTATCACAGAAACAAACCCAACTTGGCTTATCACAGAAACAAACCCAATATTGGCTTATCACAGAAACAAACCCAACATTGGCTTATCACAGAAACAAACCCAATCTTGGCTTATCACAGGAACATTTGTCACAAAATCTGCCGCCCTATGTACTCTGTTTAGAATAGTTTAACAAGCACTCTAAACAAATGTTAGCAGTAAACAATCCAACCTTTTTGTATATGGCAGCAATGAGTGTTGATTTGAGCTGCATGCCGACAATCTGGGACATCCAGAAGCTGAAGTTGAACAGCACAGACTTGACCATCTGAGTTATAAACAGTAGCACGGCCAGGGCATAGCCCTTCCAGACAAAGTCTGTGTCCTTGTTCTCAGCATAACTTATCAGCAAGCTGTGGACAGGCAATAACATTGGCAAATCAATTGTGACCAGAGAAAAGGTTTGGGGGGGGAGGGTGCTCTTTGATTAAACTTAGACATAGTTTAAACATACACTTAAATAATTCAGAGGTTCTTAGAATTTCACAGCCTGATGATTACGACAGTTATAAGTTGTGATCTCCCTTATTTCATTTCTGAGAACAATCTGTTAAATTTTTATTTGCAATTCAAGTTTAATTCTCTGATAAAAATGTACAGGTGTTCTCAAGTTGTTTTGTTTTGTACCTACCTCAGAAGTACTGGACTTAACATCAAGAAAATATCCGACACAACCTTCTGAGCCAGGCCGATCAGCAGTGGTGCCCCAACCATTTTTGAAAGCACCCTGAGCAGTGAGGGCTTTTTCTGGTAGAAAAAATGTAATTGTAATAGAATGAAATCAAGATGTGTATTTAAAAAACAAATACATCCAAAAAACAACAACAACAAAACAACGACCATAAATTGATATCAATAAACTCTTAGCCCTCAGTTCATGGCATATTAAAAATCATTGACTAACACACAGGTTGTTAACCCTCAATCAAGGGTTGAAATGTAGGGATTGTTTAAGAAGATTCATTAGGAGTTTCCCCATCTGAACAGACCCTCTAATGAGTGCACAATGTTGCCCTAAGGATATAAGATATTTACCTCATGGATTCTAGCCCTTGTCCTTTGTTCATGGTCCGCTGGCTTGTGGCCATTGGCCAGCCCTTTCCCATTGGCGTGTTTGATGAGTGGTGACCTCTCATTTGGTCTGTCCGTATCACATGACATGGATAAATCTGTCATTCGGATACTGTGAGGGCTGGCATATTTCCCATATTTCTGGCCCCTAAAATTATGTTGTTGTTTTTTAATTAAAAAATGTATTAAAATTATACAGTTTTTATAGTATTTACCTTTAACTTAGAAACAAGGACATTTTTAGAATACTAGGCGCGACAAAAGAGGAGCAAATGGACACAAGCTGTTAAGAGATCTATCTACCCTGACAAAAGAGGAGCAAATGGACACAAGCTGTTAACTGTTAAGAGATCTATCTACATCCCTGGCTTTTTTTTTTTAATTTTCCCCCCCCCCCCCCCCCCGGGCACTTTTTCATAGCACATTGACACATACAGTATATACTTAAAACTGATGTAATAACATAAATTAAACAAGTTATGTCACATTGTCTGAATCCACCAGTGCTATGTCACATTGTATGAATCCACTAGTGCTATGTCACATTGTCTGAATCCACCAGTGCCATGTCACATTGTCTGAATCCACCAGTGCCATGTCACATTGTCTGAATCCACCAGTGCCATGTCACATTGTCTGAATCTTAGCCCACAAACATTCCTCTTCAAAAGCCCACAGACATCCCTCTTTTAAAGCCCACACACATGACTCTTCAAAGCCCACACACCTTCTCCGCCCAAACCTGACCAGCTCATTGATCCACAGCCTCTCAAACTTGGGAATCAGTCTGTTGCTCTCATCCCTGGGATTAAGATTAAAGAGATCCTCCTCCTGCAGGTCACTCTTCCATCCTTTGTACACAGTCCTGCAATGTCAAGATTAGTGTCTTGTGATATTCAGAATAGCATGTGTCTTGTGATATTCAGAATAGCATGTGTTTTGTGATGTTCAGAATAGCATGTGTCTTGTGATGTTCAGAATAGCATGTGTCTTGTGATGTTCAGAATAGCATGTGTCTTGTGATGTTCAGAATAGCATGTGTCTTGTGATGTTCAGAATAGCATGTGTCTTGTGATGTTCAGAATAGCATGTGTCTTGTGATGTTCAGAATAGCATGTGTCTTGTGATGTTCAGAATAGCATGTGTCTTGTGATGTTCAGAATAGCATGTGTCTTGTGATGTTCAGAATAGCATGTGTCTTGTGATGTTCAGAATAGCATGTGTCTTGTGATGTTCAGAATAGCATGTGTCTTGTGATGTTCAGAATAGCATGTGTCTTGTGATGTTCAGAATAGCATGTGTCTTGTGATGTTCAGAATAGCATGTGTCTTGTGATGTTCAGAATAGCAATGAACATTGCATGCGATATGTGTCTTGTGATGGACCGAATACCACTGAACAATAGCTGCTACAATATAAAATCAATTTCAGACAGGGGAAGATCATTTGAGTTTTCACATTAGGCATTTAAAACATTATAAATGATCTCAAACGAGACTATAGAATGTTTTATAATATTTAAGAATCTCATTTGACCTCTTGTACTTAGATTGTGACATGTTTTATAACCTTTAAGAATCTCATTTGATCTCTTGTACTTAGATTGTGGAGTGTTTTATAACCTTTAAGAATCTCATTTGATCTCTTGTACTTAGATTGTGGAATGTTTTATAACCTTTAAGAATCTCATTTGACCTCTTGTACTTAGATTGTGGCATGTTTTATAACCTTTAAGAATCTCATTTGACCTCTTGTCCTTAGATTGTGGCATGTTTTATAACCTTTAAGAATCTCATTTGACCTCTTTTACTTAGATTGTGGCATGTTGTATAACCTTTAAGAATCTCATTTGACCTCTCGTACTTAGATTGTGGTTAAGTTAAAACAAACACAAATAAGAGATAGCATCAGTACACATGCTGACTGACTAAACTTACTTTGTGGCCCATCAGTAAATTACTTTACTTACTTTATTGCCCACCAATGAAAGACTTGCTTACTTTGTCACCCACCAGTAAAATACTTGACTTAACTTTCCCACCAGTAAAATAGTTGACTTACTTTGTAACCCGCCAGTAAAATACTTGACTTACTTTGTGGCCCACCAGTAAAATACTTGACTTACTTTGTGACCCATCAGTAAAATACTTGACTTACTTTGTGATCACCCAGTAAAATACTTGACTTACTTTGTGACCCACCAGTAAAATACTTGACTTACTTTGTGGCCCACCAGTAAAATACTTGACTTGGGAATGACGCCATGACTTCAGGGCTGGTTTTCTGTAACAAAATCATTTCTTTAAATATTCAATCTTTTGTTTGTACAAATGAACACATGCTAGCAATTTAACTAACAATAATTTTACAATCATACACAACAAATTCAACAAATGATTTTCCTAGTGACTGGAACCTTCCTTCACCACCAACACCCCCACCCTCACACAAAAAATTCTGACATAGTACATAGCAACAGCAGGAAAATATCTGCAAAGAACTGAAGTTTCTTTCTTTTTAAAGTTTATTACAATTAGCAAAAGAAACAACACATCTTCTGTCATGAATGTAAGCACAATTTAAATAAATTACTAACTTTTGTTTCGATAATGAATTTTAGGTTTTCAATAATTTAAGGCAGATAAAATTGGTTGAATAAGTTATTCTTAGTCATATTTCAGTGCCATAGTCAGCACAGAACAAAGGTGAAAAGCAAATGATCAGCTCAAATGACTGTAAACATCTACTTACAGCATGAAAACTTTCTTCCCCCATTGAGTCACTGACACAATGCACAAGGATTTGAAGAACTTCCATCACATAGATCAAAGAAAACAGGGCAAACTTCAACAAGGAATCAACATACTCCTAGAGGGAAATACAACATTATAATTACAGCATACAACATACTCAACATACTCCTAGAAAGAAAAACAAATAATATAATTACAGCATAAGATATTAACCTACACAAGAGGAAAGTGCTTATTTACAGTTAGCAATACAAATTAAAATGATAAGTGATGGAAATGTAAGTAACAATGAGGGCTCAGTGGTAGAAATTGTTTTCTTGCTACATGTATTCCATTAAAACAATGTTTCCAGCAAATAGGAGATGACCAGTAAACTCCCAACCTATTGACTAATCAATATGTTTTAACTTATGAATGTATGGACCTTCTGTATGATCTGTGTGTAGAGTGGTATGACATCGCATATGACAACTAGCATCCAAAAAACAAACAACACTCCTGACGTGGTAACGTGATATTTTCTCTCAAAGTGTATTATTATGGCCAAAGCTGCCTGCAAAAAGAAATTTCATATTAATGAATGAAAAAGTTAAGTTGAATGTTGTAAAAAAAATATTTTAAAACACCAAATAAAACAAATTTTACAGCAGATTAAAATTTATTTTATCAAACTGAAGGTAATTAGTGATTGATTCTAATGATAATGATGATTTTATAGAGGTTATTTAAAAATATTAACAATTTTAATAAAGACCTATATTAAGTTATTGTATTTCATTTTAAACATGTCTGCATTAAGAATTATGGTAAAACTACCACAACATGAACACAAAATAAGATTCTGAGTAACAAAAATCTTCTAGTTTTCTGATAAAACACATGCGTAAAATTAAATTTTCTAATGCAATAAGTGTCTATTACTATTTATTGATCATATTTTAAACTATTTCTTGTAAAAAGAACCAAAAGATAGACTATTCTACAAACGGTTACAAGAACTTACATATGACACAACCCTGATGCCATTAGCTGCATACTGTGACGATGGGACGGGATTTGTAGCAACGTCCTTACTTAAGTCTTCAACAATCATAATTAGGCTCAGCAAACTGAGTGAGGTAGCAAGAAACTTTAGAGGAAAAGAGATGGATAAATAGTCACTTTAGATTATTTCCAATTTGAATTTTAGCTAAACAACATGTTTAGATTTTAAATTTACATCTAGAAAATATAAAATATTAGTCACAATTTTTATTTTGTAAGCTCAACCATCATTGTAATAAATGGGATGAGGAAGTTTTTGGAAGCTTGTTAATCATTAAAATCTGATTATTATTCATTAATATTATTATTTTTTTGTAAGAACCCCTATAAAAGATGTGATGCAGAATATAAAACATTTGGCACATACTATTTTTATTATGCTGAGACTTGACATAGGCAATGGACGATTTCCTGTAGACGCCAGACTATACAGATAAAATGGGAGGGGCAGCCAAAAGCAAGCAAAAGGAAAATATATAAGTACTGTATTTTGAAAACATGATGTTAGCTGAGGCCAAGATGAAGACAACAGAAGATCAGTATCCTGAAAAAAAAAACTGTAATGATTAGATCATTTTCCCTTATGCCGATGCTTTAATTTTGACTCAAGTATATAGATATGGATGACTTATTTATTAACTTTCATTAGTAGATATGTGCGTGCTTTAGATTTTTTTTCATAGAAGACAGACACAAATATTTTTGCATTCATACATTTTTTGGGTAAATTATATTGTCTGTAAATATATATTTTAAAAAATAACAAAACAATAATAAATATGGATTTAAATATATTCTATAAAGTAAAATCTGCTAGTAAAATTCAGTCAGTAATACATACCCAAATATTATCTTTACAAAACATAGTTTTCCCAAAAGTGTCATTGACATATAGAGTACTAGTTTTATCAGCAGGATCCATTGTTACTTGACCTTGTTGGGAAGTTACATTATCCATATTGCCTGAAAAAATATAACTGATTAATAGGTGGTTCATAAAAATTATTATGCAATGAATAAGAATTAACAATGATCCAGTATGAGTAATGATATGTAGAATAATTAGCCCTGAAACTAGTCCCAGTAATCTAAAATTTAAAAACTTTGACATGATTGTCGTAATAATAAATACCAGAGAGTGTTTAATATGATAGATAGGGCCCATGTCTTTCTAAGTCTATGACATTTATGTAATGTAAGAAATATGTAGTAATTGCATCATGATTTTTTTTTACAAGAAACATATTAGTATTACTGTCTTAACTAATTATCAGTTATATTTATTAGAAATTAGACCTATGCTGTAACTGTAAATAGTGTCCTGAGCAAAATTTAAAATGTCTCAGAAAACAAGAAAAGCTACATCAATGCTATAATTTATGAACTTTTTATTGCATTAAATTAGACAAGTTAGAAAAATTATGTTTTGTTTAGAAGATTACTACCGACTAAATTATAATTATATATACTTTATATATAATTATTAATACAATACTGAATGTTATTTTTAAACATTTAACTTGACTTACACACACTAACAATAATAATAGATTCAAATGATAGATCAGCCAAGATTTTTATCAGGTCTCCAATCTACTAAATACTAAAAATAAATAAAAATTAACCAGTAGGATCACTCACTACACATACATTACATTACTAAACCAAACCAGTGAGTTGAGCGAGTGCCAGTTGCAGTGTTTGATTTAGAATAGGCTGGGTAGGAAGTTAAAAAACACTATGTAATTTATCATTCAGGTTAATATAAGGCTAAATTATGCAAAAAAGTTTCTCAAAGGTTAATTTTAAAATTAATTTCACTCAAGTTATAATAATTCGTTTTTTAAAAATCAATATTCATTTATTGTTTACAAGTTATCAGTTTGAGGTTGTAAGTAGGCCTATTCACAAAAATTTTGAGGGAAATCAGAAGAGTGGTTTCCCATTAAATTATTTAATCCCAACTCTATCGCATATTAAAATAATGAAATAAGTTTCGGCCCTAATCTTCAATATATTTTAGGTTTAACCATATGCATTTTCAAATAAAGAATTGAAGTTTAGACCTATTTAATTTTTTTTCTAAATTAACTTTATCTTCTTACCTTGTAAACAACGAAAATATAAATAATTCAATCATCAATGACGTCATTTGACTCAATTTTCAACTCAAAGTAAATGTTGCAAAAGTAAAATAATTTTTAACAATATTCATTTTCCCCTTATGTTATACAAACACGATAAAAATTATTAACCACCAAATGAACACGTGTTCCAATGATATGATTATGATTGAGAAATGTATGCACTCCACAAGACTCAATGTTTCAAGCTCAAGTCAAACACAATTGTCACGAAACAAGTTTGTAGTAAGACGCGTAGTAAATTGTCCGTGCCAAATAGCAGACGTCATGGTATTTACACGACCCATATGATTATAGGACATGGCCAGCGTACTTGTGTCCATGTGCGACATTCTGTACGATGTATTATGATTAAATAATACCGTAAAACACCCCAAGTCGTCCAGGGGTTCTAAACAAATGGTATACAAGGTACTCGTATAAAAGAAACGTATTCCCTGCGCTATAAAACACCAATAGGTAATTAAAGTGCATTTGTATTTCACATTCAAATTAAAACATTATTTGCCTGTCATGAACATGGAGAAAGAAAACAAATTACAACTCATAAAATGTACATAACGTCACAAGGCAAGGAAAGTGCGGACATTTTTCATAGTAAGAAATGATGAAACAAAATCAATAAAGGTGAAGTTAATAAAAACAAGGGATTTTTTTGAGGTGTGGTAGTTTATCGTAATGAACATTCAGACGTGCCCTACTTTTTCAGTTTTCCTGAGTTGTGAACAGCAGACCAATTATTTAACAACTGATCTTGTGAAGGACTTATTTATATATGAAAAATGCCAAAAAAACAATAAAATTAAGACAGTCGGGTATGGGTTTTTAAATTGTTTAATTTTCACGTTTTTCAAATGTTTACAAATGGAATTTAATTCTTTGTTTAAAAAGAAAAAAAAACATAATAAAAAAATAAGAGAATGCAAAGTCAAAGAAGAGCCTGTACTGTTTTTATGATTGTCTAAGAGTCGTGTACTGATTTTTTAATTTAAAATCCTGTTTTTATTATGAAATTAATCTGCTTCAGACAAAAACTAGAAGATTTGCCCTTAGGGGTCGTTCGCAAATTCCGTCACGCCCAGGGGGAGAAGGGTCGAGGATCAAGAATTTGTAACACTCTGTGACCCCGGGGGGGGGGGGGGGGGGGGGTGGAAATTGGGGGACGGACGCCCTTTTTATTCTTTTTTTTTTTTTTTTTAAATCTAACATTTTGTAATTTTCAAAAATCTTTATTGAATTATTTTTTTTAAAAAAGCATTAATTTGAGCTCGAAATAGCCTCAGATATTATAAATAATGTGAAACTCAGTCGCTCACACCTTCTGCACATATCGAAAAATTACTAAAAAAGTGGTGTAGCCAGTTTCCATTCGGCTTGGGAAGGACTCCGTTGTTTTGCGTTCTACCTTACAGTTTTCTAATAATACTACATCTTAATCCATTTTTGGGAAATGTTAAAGAATAAAATATAATCTTAGGGGGCGTCCATTAATTACGTCAACAAAATAGGGAGGAAAGGGGGTTTGGAAATGTTTGACAGTTGTTGAGAATGGGGAGGGAGGGAGGGGGTGAGATTAGTTGACGTCAACAATCATGTTTTCTGTATTAAAATTTTAATCTTAATAATTGACTGGTTATTAAATTATTTTTAAAAAAAATAAGGCTAAATGAGTGTAACTAGTCATATAATTTTTAGGTTTTTAACAATATAAGATTTATTTAATGTGTGCCTGTGCACTGCCGATGGCTGGTCAGAATGTTAGCACTTAGCACACTCTGTTTATGCAAGAGAAGTCAAAAGTTGGCCTCTCTTTACCTGTAGATTCTGTTGCAGGTATGGAACAGGACAAGGTTCAAGTGTCATGTGCAGTCTAGATAAATCATATTGATAGAGTAGGAATACGATGTTTTGAGAATTAGGGGAAAGTGAAGTGAGTAACAATAATAGCATCGCTGCTTGAACGGGTTTGCAAAATCTGTAACATCTATTTTGCATCACAAGTCATGTTGAAAAAGCATGTTCAACAGCACCGACAATCCCCTCTTGAGCATAAGAAATTAGCACCTGGTCCTCAACCAAAAATGATTCAACCAATGCTAGTAGTTGCTAGAAGATAGAGAGAGCTTATGGCGATTATTTCTCACACCGACAATGATTCTATTTTAAGTGCTGAAAGGTTAGATGAGGATGATGTTGACTTGCCTGGTATATCAGTGCCGCAAGATGGAAATGATCACTCAACTACTATAGAATATGCCCATCAGGGGCGTCATTTAATTTTTTTTCATGGGATGGGGGCAAAACCAAAACTTGGTCGGCTTGTTGAGTTGTTTATTACTAGAGGCGCCACATACATAGTAATTTAAATAAAACCTGCAAATTAGGGGGCGGGGGCCAATGCCCCCCTGCCCTACCCAAATGATGTCCCTGATGCCCATTGTTACGATAGAGCAAACCTGGCTCCTCCTTGGGAAGATGATGGCAGCTAGAAACTAAACTATAATTGTCAGCTTTACTGACAATAATCATATATTTATACGACAAACAATGATATTTAGTCTTTAACAACCTTTCAATTGATTCTGCATTATAAAATTTAAGTGTAAAAACTTTTTAATTTGTTGATAAACAAGCTAAAGATGTAATAAAATGTTTTTCCTATAATTTTAATTTTATTGTCATTAAAATAGATCAGCACAAAGTAAAATGTATTTATAAATTCATTTATTATATAATTCCCCCCCCCCTTTTTTTTGGGGGGGGGGGAGGGAATAGGGGGGTGGGGGGTGGGGGAGGGGTCTTTGAAAGTTGTTGACAAGTAGGGGAAGAGTTCAAAGATTGCTTAAAATTGCTGACTTAATTAATGGTTCAATTATGTATGTATGTTTTGATTTTTTTAGGTGTGACGTGACACTATAGGGGGGGGGGTAAAGAATTTGTGAAACTTTGTGACAGGGGGGAGGGGCGGTCTGAAAAGGTCATTTTGGGCATGACGTTATTTGCGAACGACCCCTTAGGCGATTAATGCTTTTAAACAGGATGTATGAGAAACAGTTTTTCAAGGGAAATAACAAATATAAAAGATTTTACGGGTACATACTTTTTTAAAAATTTTTATGGTCTCCCTTATTATCATGCTGGTATTTATGGAATTTCGGAAAACTGACAAGCACAGCAGGGTTTAGGAGTCAGAACCAAACTTTGTTTGATGTTGTCAATGGTAACCACAGTTAGAAGGCTTGTGGATTCATAATCAAATATTGTTTGAGGTTGTCAATATAGATGCAACTCTTGTTTTCATTGTGGTTTTACTCTTGATTTTAACCACGCGCTGAAAATATTAACATGATGCCATATTGTTGACATTAACATGATGTCATAGTGTTGACATTAAAATGATGCCATAGTGTTGAAATTAACCAGATGTGTTAGTGTTGACATTAACACAATGCCATAGTGTCGACATTAACATGATGTCATAGTGTTGTCATTAACATCATGTCATAGTGTTGCCATTAACATGATGTCATAGTGTTGTCATTAACATGATGTGATAGTGTTGTCATTAACATGATGTCATAGTGTTGTCATTAACATGATGTCATAGTGTTGTCATTAACATGATGTCATAGTGTCGACATTAACATGATGTCATAGTGTTGTCATGAACATGATGTCATAGTGTTGTCATCAACATGATGTCATAGTGTTGACATTAACATGATGTCATAGTGTTGTCATTAACATGATGTCATAGTGTTGTCATTAACATGATGTCATAGTGTTGTCATTAACATGATGTCATAGTGTCGACATTAACATGATGTCATAGTGTTGTCATGAACATGATGTCATAGTGTTGTCATCAACATGATGTCATAGTGTTGACATTAACATGATGTCATAGTGTTGTCATCAACATGATGTCATAGTGTTGTCATTAACATGATTTCATAGTGTTGTCATTAACATCATGTCATAGTGTTGCCATTAACATGATGTCATAGTGTTGTCATTAACATGATGTCATAGTGTTGTCATTAAAATGATGTCATAGTGTTGTCATTAACATGATGTCATAGTGTTGTCATTAACATGATGTCATAGTGTTGTCATTAACATGATGTCATAGTGTTGAGTCCAAGCCTAAAAGTCTGATCCTCACAACCACCCCTTCTAATTACTTCAGAACCAGACTCCAATAGCCATTCTGGGGGGAAAAAAGGCCAAAAACAAATACAAATATGTAAATTTCGCCCAAGAATAGAAAGTCTCATTAAAATCAGCAAAGCAGATGAACTTAACGGGTCTATGGATGCTATCGTCATAGAGCTGTAGATCAGAAGCACCTAGTATAAGCTGATATAGTATTACCAAGTTTAGGGTTGTCTAACATTGCGCCCAGGCAGCCTACAAGTTGAACTCATCTTCCTTCAACTCTGATTCAATTTAAGTCATACAACCTTTTTTTTTTTAGCGACAGCGGCGGATACTTAATTAAGCTGGGCTGGGCTGCGTGAATCATATTATGCAGTGCCAGCGGATTTAAATAGCTAGTAAAATTCTTCTTAATTTATCCAGATCGTTTTTCTCATTTGATGAAATGTTAAGCTCAACAGCTGCTGCCTCACTATGCTAACTTAAGGAAATGATTCGCATTAGAAAGAATTGTCAAATGAAAGCTAAAGGAAATTTTAAAATATTCTTATGATTTTTCAGCATTTTTTTTTAATTAAAAAAATATTTAAAAAAAAAATATTTGTTGTTGTTGCTAGCACTAGATAACAACCAAGCTGCGGGACGTCATTCCTGGAGTCAGAATATGTAGAAATGTAGTGAAGAAAGGGAACAACCGGGGATAGACTAAAGCCTTTTGAAGGGGACCTTGGCATAGCCAACATACGTTACCATCGCTTAAAGCAGAGGTCATCAAACGTTCAAACAGTGGGACCGGAATACAGTCCCAGTAACTGAGCGATTGTATTCCGGCTCCACTGTTTAAACAAAAATATGAGCGCATGCCTTTGCCGACTGTACATATCTTATTTCTAATGGAGA